TGATTGGGAATTAGATCTAGAAGCAAACTGTGTTGTGTTTGAATTAGATCTGGAGTAGTTATTTCTACTATTTGGTCTATTGTAGTGATTTTGCGATGAATTTTGTGTGTTTCTTCGTTCTGGCGATCTTCCTCTATAACTTGAGTTATATGGGGATTGATTTCTTGTATAGCTTGTATTGTTCGGAAGTGGTTTTCCGGAACTATTGTTGCTATATACATTTTTGTTTGGTAGATTTTGATCTTTCTTCATATATTGATAAAATGACTTATTTGGTTCTTTGTATTTTTGAGGTTTATTTTGACTATCTTGCTGTTTTTGTCTACATTCGGAAATACTATGTCCGTATCGTCGGCAATAATTACACCATTTTTTGAAAGATGGTTTGCCTTTAAAGTTTGGGTTCTTTTCATAAATATTGAGTATTTCAGTGATTTTTTCAACGAGGTCTGTGTCTGATTCCTGTATATTATCAATATTAGTGGAAGTTGTTTCAATTCTGTTAACGTATTGTAATTTCAGATTTTCCGTTTCTTCTAGTTTCATTGTGATTTCTGCTTGTTCTAATTTGTCTACTAGTTTTCGAAAATCTAAATCGGGTTCTCGAATTGAGGAAGGATGGGATGCTCTCTTTTTTATTGCTATTTTCCTTAATTGTGGTGTTAAGGTCATCATTAAGATTTCTGTCATCTTTGTGTTTTTATAGTCGTGTGTATTTAGTGAATATGCTTTTCGAACTAGTGTTTCGATTCTTACTGCTAATTGCTTGATGGTTTCGTTTGGTAATCTGCGAATTTCATTACATAAAACTCTTTGTTGTTGTTTGTTTCTTTCGGAGTCAAACATTTTTGAAAATTCCTGTGTAAACCTTTTCCAGTTTGATTTTATTTCTAGAGGTAGTACTGAAAACCGTTTTTGGGCTGCGCCATCTAAGGTTGTTTGTATCAACGCTGTGCGTCGATGTATCCAGTTTTGATGTAGTGGCGTATTAATTGGTTCAGGTCCAATGTTTAAAATCAAGTTTGATGTTACTGCATTTAAATAATCTTCTACAGAGTATTCAGGGTCTGTTCCTGTGAAAACCATTAAAGGTTTGTTTGATGTTATTGATGATCCACCCATAAGGTATGGATTCATTGTCATTTGTAATGATTCTGCTGCATTTGGCATTTGAGAAAAATTTGAAAGTTGGTTTCTTGTTATTTCATGTTGTTGGAGATAGTATGGGAGTGGTATTTCATTTTGCATTTGTGTTGGTTGATACGAGGGTGCAATCATTGGATTTTGTTGTTGAATTGGTTGAAAAGATTGTGTATTAATTGGATTTTGTTGTTGAATTGGTTGTTGATGTTGTGCATCTATCGGTTGTGGAGAAAAATTCCTATGATTTGTACGTGTTTTCTGTATTCCTTGTCCACGATATTCTTGAGTATATGGTGCAAATATGTCTGGTTGTAAGAAATCATCATCTGAGGATAAATAATCCATCTGATAAGATGTTTGTTTTTTATTTTTATTTTGTTGAAAAAATGGGTAATTTTCACTGTGATCTTGTGGAGGATTTGTTTGGAAATTTATTGAATTAGTTTGGGTCATTGGGTTATCCCAGTTTCGAGATCTTGTATACTGGTTAAAATTTCTTCGTGGTTGGTAATTTGTTTTTGATGGATGTGTATAATTATAATTATGGTCTGCAAAGTTGTTTCTAGTGAATGTTTTGCGTGTTTTTGATGGTATTGTCATGGGTCTGTATGTTTGGTAATCCATATGTGAATATTTTGGAGCAACCGAAGGTTTAACGGTTGATTGTAAGGTTACCTGTGTTTGTGAAGGATTTGTATTTCTTGGTGTTGTCAAATTTGGGCGTATTGGTGAAATACTTTGTTGTGTAGTTGTTGTGTGTACAATTTCTTCATTTATGAAGTGTGATGGTGTCTGGATATCTTGTTGAGTAAGATTCCTAGTTCCATTGAGGTTTTCGTTGTGTATGACTGTAGAGTTTAAACTATTATTTTGTGTATCGGGCAGAAATGTATTATAGTTCAATGGTGTTGCATCAATGGTTAAAGGTAATACTCTTACATAATCTCTTATGTAAGATATTGTACTTATTGCTTGACTTGAGATTGATTGTGGGAAGCTTATAAATGCGGGATGAGACCATTCGGGGTCCCAAACATAATCTGATTGTTCTGTGATAGCGGTATCATCGTTTGAATTTTGGGGTCTAAAATTTTTTCTTGCTTGTGCAATTAAATCAATATTGTGTGTGAAATAATCTATTATGAACAATGCCAAAATTTTTTGTAGATCGTGTTTTGTATGTTGTGAAACTTCGTCTTTCGTGAAATTTTCTTTAATAATGTTTAAATAACTAGAGAGTAGTGTGATTTCATGTCGTACTCTTAAATGTTTAGATGTTTCTGTCGGTGAGACATTTGTTATTGGGATTTCGTTTTCTAATATTGAAATATAACTATATATTATTGCGAAAACTTCATTAGTGAAAATGGAGTTTGCTCTTTGTGAGTTATGGTATTGGATGCTTTTTATATATTCTGAAAAAACTTTTGAAAATTCTAAATCAAGATCGTCTGTTTGAATTGTATATTTCCTATGATTATGGTTTGGTGAGGTGAATTCTATGGAGTAGATTCCATACTGTTGTGTTATGTTGCATATATCTTTTAGGTAGTGGTCTATGATTTGTCTTTTGATTTTTACATCTGGGAACTCTGTTTTACATGGACTGATTCCGGGTTCAAATAAATTTAAGAGTAAATTTTTACAAAATATGTGTTGTCCTCTATCAGTAGTTGCATCTACTATAAAAGGAAAGATTTCATCATCATCTGGAGTTTCGTCACCTGGGGTGTGCGTTGAGCTCATTTTTTCGTTCGATGACTGTTAATATGTAATTATTAATGTGTCGAATTGGTTGATTCCAATTGTATAAATGTACTGGTTTGTGTTTATACTGCTTTTTTATTCTTCTTTTTCCTCTTTGTGATGAATTTGAAGTTGTTTCTGAGTCAGAGAAATATAATTGATCGTGAATTGGGCAATTTTTATCTATTGATTCTTTTAGTTTGTAAAGTTCGTCTAAACTGTTGGTTTCTGATTCTGAAAATGCGTTTCGATTTTTTGAAAATCTTTTTCGTGTTATTTGTCTTTGTTTCGTTATTATTTTTCTCTTTAGTGTTTGTCGTTTTGTTCGAATGTATCCAACTGTTTGTGTATGAGGTGTGATTACAAGGTCGTATTTTTTGTTATCTATTTCACAATTGTGTAAAACGATTGTTTGTTTATTTCCTAGGTTTTTAAATGACATAAGGTTTAGGATGACGGATGCAAAAGGATGTTAAGTGAATTCTAATTGCTTAAACTGTTAGTCCTTACGATTTTTTGGTTAGCTTAACCTGGGTCTATTTGTTCAGGTTTGGAGAGAAAAGTATATCTATTCCGGAGAATGATTTTTAATTTCTCGTGACTAGTATAAGTTAAGGTGTTAACTTACTTAATCTTACTTAGGGGTAGTGATTGTGTTCAAAGGTTGGAGAATAGTAAATCGATCCACAAGGTTCAGGTATAATTAGAACGCGAGTAGTTCGTTAGATACTATTTTAAACTTACGAAGTCTAAGATTTATCCTGGGTCTGGTAAGAGGGGGGGTCAAGTGAAGGATGAATAACCGAAGTTCTTCACTGTTTATCCTAATTTGAATGATTAGTTTTGTTTAAAAACTTCTATTAGTCTTAGGTCTTTAGAAAGGGTTGGATAGTGAATCGACGTTTGAGGTCGTTAGACACTAATTAAGTGGGTGGGGGAGAACAAAGTTGTTCTGTTTGATCCAAGTATAAGCCTTGATGATCAAATTTGAAATTTAATTAAGTAGAAAATGATTTAAGATCCAAGGATAAGCCTTGATGATCTGATTTTAAAATTAAGTGAATTTAAGTTTTAATAAAATTTTAAATTTGTGTAAAGGAAAGATTTAGTGTTTTATGATATTAGTGAGTTTATGATTGCTGTTATGTTTTAGGTGATGAAGCTGGAACAACAGGATGATTTATGATTACTAACCATTTATTGTCATGCTACTAATTTTTATTTTTATTTTCCAATAAATATTTTTCAAACATGTTTTGTATATTACTGCAGAGTTTTAGGAAAACGATCTGAGATCTTTTTATCATCCGTTATTATATATTATTAATTTTGTTTAGCGCCTGAAATGATTTTGAAGATTAACTTCAAGGTTTTATGTTTGCAAATGGAAATCTAAATTCATTGCGAGTAGTATTCTAAATATAAAAGTTTGTTCTGGCTTTTGCCGAACTATCATATAACTATGTGGCAAGTTTCTACTTTGTCGTAAGTCGTCTCTGGTTCGAGGTCTTCTTCCAATTCCGGGTAGTTCTGTTATGGTTCGGAATATTGGCTCTGATCTATTGAGTCGTAGAGACATTTCGATTAAATTATTGTCGTATAACATTTTGGAAATGTTTTTGTCTAATTTCTAATCTATTTTGGTTAATTCTAAGCTATTAAGGTCTTGTTCGAGACTTATGGTCGCACCAGATGAGTTAGGACCGAAGTGTATAACTCATAGAGTAATTTCGGATAGGGTACACCGTCTGCTCGTCACGCTATCTTATTTTCGGCCGGATAGATTCGTGCAACTTCTTAGTCTAATACTGATCCTAATCTTACTCTTATACTGTCTAGTGTCAGGTTGTTTAACTAGTCTCTGCTAGGCTCAATAGATCTAGGGTATACTGGTTCATTGCGGCTGCTGAAGTACTCGGGAGAGTTCAACTAATTTCTAAGTTAAATTCAAATCTCTCTGGTGCTGAAATTACAAGTAACTTCAGCACTTACAAATAAGTGGGTTGTTAGTTAGATGGATCATGATTGGTTAATATTAAATACTTTACATTGGTAAAATATCTAATTTATCCAATCATAAAATGTAGTTTAGATCAGGTTCCACAACGTACCGCTCCAGTAGGTGCTCCAATTGGACTATAAAGTGTTCCATCCTGTTGGCAAGCTTTTGTCCCATTGCATGCAGCACTCGGTAGTGACATAATCGTTCCACAAGGCATGAACGAATAAACTCTATTGTCGGCTGAGGAAGAACTTGTTAAAACTGAAGTGTACCCCTTGAGGTCAATCTCTCCGCAATTTACTCCTCCTTTTAAAGCAATAGATTACAAAATTTGTATTATAGACCTGTATTTTAGACCTTTGTAAAATTTGTGTGCGCTTGCCATAATGGTCGACTTTGCGCCCGATATTTTTGACCAAAAATGACAAAAACAGCTCTTAAAGTTTTCAGTAATTTTGAATCATGGTAAAGCACCCATTTCCATATTTGGCAAAATAACCACTAAACTGATATATTGTGCTCTTCATCCAGCTAGTTTAAACATGGACAGGACTCCAACATGTGCCTCTGATTTGATGACATGAATTGGCTAAACATATGACAAGACTCCACTATTTCAAATAGTGTTTAAATTAAATGCAAGATCACTTCTTGAATTATAACATATGCTTTACAAAAACTATAATTGAAAAGTCTAGAGAGAGCATCAAAAAATTCTCTGTTTGGTAGGTGATGTATGTATCAAGTTTTACACATTTATTAATTTTAGAAAAAAGGAAAATTGTGGAGATATGAAAAAAGATGCGACGGGTATAACTTATGTATAGGTTTCGAGAAAAATTAGAACAAACAGTTTTTTCGACATTTTTTTGGTTCCAATTATCAAATAATTTTTCATGCTCACTAAATCAGTCATATTGCTTAAAAATATGAGTCCTTGGATGCACACGCCAAACGAATAACATTTTTTGATTGTCACTCTTTTTCACACTGGAAATACGAGAACTAAGCTTTTTTGCCAAATTTTTTAGCAGAAAAAATGAATCAAGATATAATCAGCTAATTTTTTTATACAAAGAGTATGTATGATAAGATTTATTCCAAGCTATTAATATATTTATGATATATACTTTGCCGCTAGCTGGAATGAAAAAAAAAATTAGTAGGGTTGTGAAAAATTGTGTTTTGTCCGAAAACAAACATCGAAAACTTATCTAACAAAAAAGTTTAAATGGCAGTTACCACTCAGATAAACTGCGTTGAATGATTTGCCATTTATAATAATGATTTGACCTTCAAACAGAGATTTGTACAAAAAAGCTTATGAAATCAAAAGTTCGGTGGTTGATTAGCCCAATTTTCTACGTATTAGATTTTTGATTAAAAAATGCAAAAACAGGGTTTTGCTCACACAAAAAGAATTTTTGGTGATTTTTGAAAGTTTCGTCTGAAAATCAGCCTGGTCTCGTAAAATGGTTTTGTGAGTTCTTACTTCAGTTTCGTCACTTTTTGTAATTAAAAAAATGCATTTCATACATTTTTTATACACGAAAATTGTATGATAAGCTATTTTTGTTATAAAAGTTTTTTTTTTCATGCCAAAGATGATCACATGTAACAAAAACTGCCACAATGATTTTAATTTTAAACTTATGTGATAAAATTTTTGAAAATTTAATCTTCGAAGGCAAAAATTTTTTATCAAACAGTTTCTTCCTATGGTAATCATATAATAATAATGATAATAATAATCATAATAATAATAATAATAATGGGATTTAGAGACTAAAGTCTCAAGGGTATGTTTCAACCCGATAACAGTCGGAATCTAAGCGAGGGAGAGTTTCGGCAATTTGAGCATCGACAGAGCATCTTCCAAGTGCACAAGTTGTCTGTGTCATAGACGTCAGTCGCGAAGTTCTTGTACAGTCGAGTGAGGCGCTGTTTCAGACCAGCGGTCTGATGGAATTTGATGATCGGGTCAATAAAGTTCGCCAATCGTGAACACCTGTTCCAGAAGTTGTTTTCGCATTTGGTATACCGGTAATTCTTGACATGAAACGCAACAGTAGTAGTACTCCTGGTAGTCGATGGAGCAGAGAAGCGTACATGTGAAGACCAGTCATAATCGTATTTTCCTTTTATTATTGAAGAAAAGAGTAAGAGAGCATGAAGTTCAATGTATAGACAAATAGGCAGAAGAGCCAGCTGAGCCAATCTTTGCTTATAGGGTAGAGGTGTAAAATTTAAAAACTATTTGGTTGCATGCCGCTGCACTTGCTCGAGATTCTTCAGTTCAGAGCGATTAGCACAATATACTGGCGAGCCATATAGAAGGATTGGGACGATAAACCCACAACAAGCATGAAGTTTAGTGAAGTAGGCACAAGAGTTAGATGTGTTGCGCTTGATAAGAAGCAGACTTTTTGAAGCTTTGGAGACCCGAGAATTGGTGTGATGTGACCATGTCAGTGTGTCAGTGATGAAGACCCCGAGATCGCGTTCTTTACTATCGTGATGAATGGTAAGATTTTTGCAGTGTACGTCTCGAGGTGTATCGCGAAACCAAATGGTTTTGCTCTTGGTTGGATTAATTGGCATGTAGTTATCAGCGCACCAACGATTGATAGTATTCGCATCATTTGACAGATCCAGGAATGACGTTGACCAGAGTTTGATATCGTCTGCGAAGGCGGAATTAAGGCAGGTTAAGGAGGTAAGCAAATCGTTCAAATAAATGAGAAACAATAAAGGTCCAAGTATGGAGCCTTGGGGAACACCACTTGTAATACGAACGCCTGTGAAAGTTTCTCGCCATCTCTAACCCTTTGGGAACGACCAGTCAGGTAGCTTGTGACAAGGGAGAGTAGCTTTCCTTTTACACCGATTTGGTGGAGCTTGCGAATAAGTACAGATTGTTATACACGATCGAAAGCTTTCTCAAAGTCCACGTACAACGTCAGTAATTCATTGACGCTCAAATCATCGTATTTATCATACAGATTGTCGAGGTACTGAAGGAGCTGCAAAACAGCAGACTGATTTCGCAGGTATTCAAATTGATTCGATGAGAGCTTAGGTCTCACAAATCGTGAAGCTTATTGAATGTTACACGCTCAAATATTTTACTGACCGCAGATAGCAGTGATATCGGTCGGTAACAGGAAGCCAAGGACTTGTTAGCATCTTTGAAGATTGGAACGATCACAGATTCCTTCCAGACTCCGGGGAAAATACCCTTGCACATACATGTTTTGAAGAGAAGTAGCAGCGACGGTGAAATGACATGGTACGGATGTTTGAAAATGCAGTTTGGAAGATTGTCCGGGCCTGTAGAGACTGAGATTTTCATCTTCGCGCAGATATGCTCAATGGCTTCATTCGTGATTGTGATATGGTGAATTGTCGAATCTGACTGTTCGTCTGAAAAAAGAGAAGAATCGTGCGACAGAGGATTATATACGGAAGCGAAGTATTTGTTGAATAAATCAGCCTTATCAATGTCCGTAGCAGCTTCCAGATGGTTCCAATGCATTTTGTCAGGCAGAGTTGAAGAACCTTTAACAGATTTGAAGTACCGATATAGGTCTCCAAAGTTTTGGCTAGAGAATACGTCACACTCATACTGTTGTTTATCGTCGTTGAGAGCATTCATTGCCGAGACCTCTGCCGTGCACAACCGCACTACCGTGGCCGGGTTAGAATAGTCCACATGCTTTCGGCGAGTATTTGCTATTTTGATGAGGTTGGACGTCGCTTGTGAGGTCCACGGAGGAAGATTACGGCGGTGCTTCGTTCGTTTTGGAACATGCCGTGCGATACCGTCGTTTATCCATTTATACCAGGAGCATGTAAGGATGTCCACACTACTGTAGCAATAAGGAGAAAACTTGTGGGTTCGGAAGTAAAAAGCCAATTATTCCCAGTCGACTCTGGAGTAACTGAACTGGTTGCTAGAAGGTCGGTTAATAGCTGTTATGGAAAGATCGATTTCAATGCAATAAGGTTGGTGGTCGGAGAGAGCCCGGCCCATGGTTTGCAGAGAGTCGGATAACGATTTATCACGGCAGCAATTTAGAATAAAGCTGTCTGCATTGCACAGGATAACGTCGAGGTTGGCGTCGAGCAGCTGTTCAAAGTTGTATTGGGAAAGGATTTTCAGTATTTCATATTCATAGGTGTTCGCAGAAGACATTGCAATCCAGTTAGTGGACGTGAAGTTGATGTCGCCACATATTATTGTGAATAAGCATTTCAGAGTGGATTGAGCCCTCGCCAAGTCGGGGACTAATGAAGAGAAGTCGGCTAGTGGCCAGTGGTAAAGACTGGTGGATGGAGGATTGTAAATACAGCAAACAATGAAGTTGACCGCACCGACACTACACATAACAGATACACAATCGTTGTACTGGCGAGAGAGTTGCGCAACGTTCGCCTTTACCCAGTCAGCAATGCCGATTAGGACACCCCCATGACGGCTACTGTCAGTCTGACGGTGATCACGGTCACGTCTGAAGATACGATAACCAGGAATAAATATGGAGGCATCCGTAACGGACTCAGTGAGCCATGTTTCGGTCAAGGCAAACACAGTAACCTGGCGAGTCATTATGGCATTGGCAAATAGCATTCGCCTTGACAGATGTAGTAAACTGCGAATGTTATACGAGACTAGGTTGGTAGTTGATTTGACTACTTGGTTTGACGGTGACGGGAGTCAACATTCTACTACACTCCACCTGTTATCAATTTTCTGTTCCAAGGAAAGATCTCGGATCCGCTAGCTCTTGCGTTCAGTACTTGTCCAATCAGTTCACGTCTCTTTAGCAGTAGAGCATTTTCACGTTGAATTTTAGCAGGAGATAATTCCTTGTCAATAAAAAAATATTTGGTTTTCATACTGTTTCAGTTTAGATCTGGAGATTAGGGCCAGACGAGGCTGCCATGCGTTCGGAAATTTGACCAGTAGTGGACGACATCTATTCTTCTCGAATTTCCCAAGGCGCCGTATATCTGCGATGTCAGCATTGGACCCTAGCAAAAATTGCAAAAGCTTTCGAGCTTCCTCCATGTCACTTTTATAGCGTTCATGATGATTTGGTTTATCTACCTCCGGAATGCCTCGAACACGTTTACTAGTGTCGGTTGACATTAAAGGAGATGTAGCGTGAGGAGGCGCTACAGTGGTCAGCAGAAGTAGATAGAGGGGGTACTCAGTTTGAGAAGTAGCGAAAAGTTTTTCGGCAGTTTCAGTGACGATCTTCTCGATTACATTCACTCGTTCTACAACAGTATCGAAAAGGAGGGCGGAGGCATCAGACGACCTGTTCGACGCCAGGTCGTTGAGAATGACGTCTCTTCGGTTGCGTTCGACACAGTAGTTGCACAGCAGTAAGACGTTAAGAGAGATGAGTTGTATGCCCGCAATAGCATCTTCCGGTATACCAGTACACTGAACCGACAGGTGCATTACCTTTCCGCAACAGACACATAAAAATACATCGTCTGCCATTTTGATCCCGGTCTGGCAAGTGGAACAGTTGCGAGGTTGGTGGACAGGTGTGGAGCCAGTGTTGGTATCCTCGCTCAATGTCTTATATGAAACGTATGATAAGTATTTTCTCCTTAGACTACTCGTGCATCCCTTGTGTAATCACATTTCAGAGATAACTCAACCTTTATAAAAAAAACTCAGCAAGGTTGCGATTTTACAGATGAGTGTATTTCACGAAAACGCCTAACAAAGAAATGAGTTCGACGAGCTCAAGTTTGACAGTTACCAATCAATTTGCTTTTTGAATTCTATTAACTTTGGCCATTCAGAGTTGGAAATCATCCTTAATTATCAGCAAACTAAAAATGCTTTCAGTTTGATCCGTGTAGGGGAAAATGGAGAAGAGGTAGTTTCTATAATTTATAGCCGTGTGCTCGGAGAATTCTGCACCGGTTCGAAAAACAATATCGAAGCCTGATTGGATGAAATTAATAGAAATCAAGAGCAAACACTAGTGGTTAAAGTTAACCTAATCTCGCTGATTTTTAAATTTGTTTTCTTTCAGCAACATTTTCGTAAATCTGTAATCTATCGCCCCTTTTTGAATTAAAACGCGACAATGCTCTTCGTCCATTTCACATGTATAAGCAGTGGATGAAAACACGACTGGTACCATGCAAACAATAACAAACCAAATGGCTGAGAATTTCATTTTGAAACAGTTTAACGATGAAATTTTGCAGATAAAAAGCTGTTAAAGCTGGTAAAAGCTGGTAAAGGATTTTTCGTGAGTTGCCTCGAAGTTTATAAGCTCAGTTTTTCATAAAATGTCAAGTTTGTTGAAGGACTTTTATTTTATCGTAATTCAGAAGGGTGAACTGAAAAGTAGAACGTCCGAAAATTTACTTCTGTGAACTAAGATAGCTATCATAATATGGCGTGTGTACAAATTTGGCAGTTAATGATCAGTTTGCAAACAAAATTTATCAGTTAAAGATCCGGATTTCTGATTAAATTTTCTTTATTCTTCCTTAAGCAAGTAATACAGTTTTAAAATGTTCTCGCACTGATTAGCATACCATTCTTTGACCCGATTTTTTCTAGGTACCAGGGTTGACCAAAAATGCAAGTCGTACCCTTTTCATATATGAAAAAATGCTAATCATACACTTTTTATGGAGTTCCATGAGAACAGAAAATTGCATAAAAGGTCTATGATTAGTGATTTTTCATAAATTGAATTTGTATGACTAGCATTTTTCCGTAATCCAACAATATTGATTTTCTACATTTTACTTGCTCTTTTTTGGTTGTGTTTGTAACTGAACACAAATGACATAAACCTTGGTTACTCAAACGTAGTCACCAAGGTTTTGGCCGTCTCGCACTAAAATTACATTGGAAACAGCCTGAAATGTTTTAATTCTGTCGCACACAAAAAATATAACGAAAGTGACGAACTTTTAAATTTTGGCAAAAGTTTTCAATGAATATTTGTTCTAAAATTTGAACTTTTAATTTACCAGACATTGATCAAAGCATACAAAAACAAGCCATACCAAAGAAAGAAAGGTTTTAAGCGTTTTTGAAAAAAGTTAATAGGAGAAAACGAAAAAAATCCAATATTAGTATATGTAGGACTACGTTATACACACAAAAAATTCAAACTTGCAGGCACAATTTTTTTTCTCAAAAAACCTTTCTTTTAGCACAAAAAACAATTTGCGGTGGAAAAAAAACAAAACAATTTTTGGAGAGAATTTCAAAAACACTTTTGTTATCGCCATCAAAAAAATGCTAGTCATACAATTTACATAAAAGGAAATTGTATGATTAGCAGTTTTTTTTTGACAAAAAGTTTATCTTTTTTATTTGGTTGATACACCGAATTTTATGCCAAAACAAGAGAAAAGATCTTCGAAAAATCGATGACACCATTTTAGCAAAATGTATGAAATTTGTATGAATAGTATTTTTTCATAGACTTAGTTTATGGAAATGTATGATTAGCATTTTTTGTCTTTGGAGGTCAACCCGGGTGTCAAAAAAAATAGGTATACGCACAGAACTTTCATGGACAAAAATCGATTTGAGCTTGATTGCCATGGTCCTTAGAAGCACAACAAGACTGCTCGTAACAGGGCAAAGCCTTGAATGTTCTGACTGTCTTTTAAGGTCTATGGAGTAGTAGTAACATGAAAAAAATAAATGTAAAAAAAATTAATTTTTATACGAATTTTTTGGGAAAATCATCCCCCCACACGCCATATAAGGTACAAAAAATTAGAATTTGCTCTATATAACAAAATAAATATGGCGAATTAGCTTTCTTCAACCAATTTGGAGAAAAAATGATAAATCTCCGCTTGCGCTTTAATAGCGCGAAACATATCCAATGGCAATCTTTAAATTGTTCAAAGGCAATCTTGAAACACCCAAACTTTTCAAATTCAAGCTCAGGACAACAATAGTTTCAAATCTATATTAAAAAAACTGTCAAAAATGGCTGGTTAAAAAATCGAGTATTGTCTGCAGAAAAAAACCATCCGGAGCACAAACGTTCCGTTACTTTCATTACGAAACTTGGAACGAAAACACCAAATTATAATCTTTTTAAAATGCATCAAATTGCTTTTATTTATTGAATAAACAGTATCCAAGGTAAATTCATTATAATCGATTTTTTTGTTCCGACTATCGTGACCAAAGTAACGGAATATTTGTACTCGTGGTGGTTTTTTACAGATACTGTTGTCCTGAGCACAAATTTGAAAATTACGGGGGTTTAAAGATTTCCCTTTTGGCTAATTTGGGACAAGAAAGCGTAGAGTTCATGCGTCGTCGAAACTATTCCAAATTGGCTGAAAAAAGCATATTTGCTATATTTGTTTTGTTACAAGGAGTGAAGGAGTGAAAACTATCACCTTGAATTTCATATGGCCCGTGGGGGGATGATTTTTACAAGAAATCTCAAAAAAAAAATTCTTGCTTTGTTTTATTACAATAAATTTTTTCTTGTGATTACTGCTCCATAGAAAGACAGTCAAAAAATTCAGGGCTTTTGCTCTGGCACAAGCAGTTTTTTTATGGAGAATGACCATGAAACTAAAATACAATACTTTTTTTGTTTCACTTTTATTAAAACGTGGTTGAATGACTTA